ACGCCCTCTCTCCCTCGTCTCCACTCTGGCTCTCGAGCCTCGGCTGTCTCTCCCCCTCTCGACTCGACGGCCCCGTCCCGCCCCACCCTACTCCCCGCCCCGCGCAGGCGCCCGGCTCCTCTGCCGAGGCGATCCCTTTCCTCAAGACGTGGGTCAACCTGCCGGGCGCAGGCACGCTCACACAACAGCACAGCCTCGGGGTGTCGAAATCATGACAGCACACTGGCCGCCAGACACGCAACACGGGGTCCCAGGGGAGGCGAGCAAACACCGTATCACCAGCTAGACGCCGGCTCGGAGGCCACGCCACGGTCTGCTCGCCCCACGCGCACCACCGGACACACGCGCACCGGGCCTTGCACTTTGAACGCCGTGCCAGCCCCTGCCCGCGTCCGGGCGGGGAGATGCGAGGGCAGCCCTGGCCCTTGCCCCGCCACCTTTGTGTCACCGCCCCTCGCCTCACCTCACCTCACCTCACCTCACCTCAACCCGGCGCAGTGGCCTTCACAGTGCTGTACTCTGCGCTGGCGAACCGGATGGCGCCCCAGGCCCTCTTCTACACCGTCCTCTCCACCTTCCTCGCCTTCTTCGGCGCCTTCGGCTGGCTCATCTACCCGCTCGTCTCTGCCGGCCTCCTCCACCCGGTGACGCTTCCGAGACACTTCCGAGACGCCTCTCCGATACTTCCGAGACACTTCCTAGACGCTTCCTAGACGCTTCCCCAGACACCTCACAGTCACCTCACAGTCACCTCACAGTCACCTCACAGTCACCTCACGACGCCTCCTCCCACACACCTCCGACACGCCTCCCGCTTGCACCGCCGTGCACTCGCCCACGGCACAGTTCACGACATGTCCACGACATGTCCGCGACACGTCCACGACACGCCCACGACACGCCCACGACGCGTCCTCGACAGGTTGCGTTTGCGTCCAAGCTGGCCGCCGCCCTGCCCGCCGGCTTCGCCGCTCCGATCGCGGTGTGCCAGAACTGGACATACTCTCTCTTCTACCTGCTCGCGAACATGTGGGGCTCTGTCGTCGTCTCGCTCCTCTTCTGGGGCTTCGCAAACGAGGTGCACTGTCACCCCACCCCG